CATATCTATATTTATATGTACACATTGTTTATGTTTAGATAGATATCATAAAAGATCACGTAAGATATTCTCATTTTTTTACAGGAAATTCGGATTAGATTAGATAGGTATGAGAAACAAATCAGTTTATTAGGTAACTGAATCATGAAAAAAATATTTATATTTTTTCCTTCTAAATTATCACATATAAATCCGGCATTTTATTTATTTTTTCGAATAAAGATTAATCTGTAATTATTTATTGCAAATTTATGTTATATTATATGCGTATATTTTTTTTTTTAATTTATAATAAGCATATGTATATTATGGATATTTATATTATCCTATATGCGTATATTTTTTTTAGTTTAAATTATAATAAGGATATGTATATTATGGATATATGAAACGTCCCGTATATATATTATAATCACATGTATTACGATATAATTCACATTAGATGTTAGAAAATGATTCTTTTTGCAGTACAGAAATACTTCTCCCAAGAATTAAGAATTCCTATTTTTCTGTTCTCTCTTTTTGCATTAGAGAAAAATATATGTGATGATTTATGAATTCCTATTATATTCCTATTTTTTTTAGCATTCATTCTTATTTATGTTATGTGATGTGATGATTTAAGAATTCCCATTATATTTCTTTTCTGCCCTTATGCAATGTTAAGAAATATGTCTGTGATGATTTAAAAAATTCCAATCATATTTCTATTCTTTCGTTATAATGATGATGTTGTTCTGTTAGTCATGTAATCTGTTTGCAGTGGAAAAATTATTTCTGTAATGATTTAATATAAATAGTTTTGTGTTTAGACAATGGCAATCTATTACAAAATAAAAAAACGTTTAGACAATGGCAATCTATAACAAAATAAAAAAACTGATAATTTTTTTGTAATAATAATAATGAAACCAAGTTACTTATTCAAGAAGATAATGAAACAAAGTTCTGCATAATAAATAAAAGCATTCTCGCAGCTGTACTGCTGCTTATTCTAATCCATTAAATGAAAAACATCAATATATATTGCTGTTTTTAAAACTATAAAGCATAATAAAACTGAAAACATAATTGTCTAATACGAATAATAATAAAAATAAAAACTCCTCATAATATTCCATAACTAATAATAAGCTTCCAGTCAGGCTTCTTCATCTTTTTCATCTTCTAGCATAAGAGAGCCATCATCATACACTTTGGCCTTTCCTTTATCAGCTGTTGTAGACAACATGAGCTTAGGATCTTCGTTGTCAAATGTTTCACTCAAGTTTCGCTTTGCAGATGAATCGCCAGTCTTCTCTATTTCCTTTGCCCTCTTTAGAGGTGTAGAAACCTCCTCATCGCCATCATCATCCTAAATAATATAATTAAATATTACATAAATAAATAATAATATTGTAATTGTAAAAATTAGAAAAATGTTATTCGTTTTCATTTAATTGTTGAAAATAAAAAAAACATACCACCCAATAGGTGTTGTCATTACTCTGTAGCATGGTAAAATAGTCGGAAACCTGAAATAGAGAAATGTATAACGTAAGCAACATGTAAACAAAATAATTTATAATTGATCTGTCTAAAAAAAAAATAACACTATTTACCTCAGGCTGAATAATCAGTTGGTTGTACTTAGAAACCACATCCTTGTTCAATATTACCCTACAAACACTAAAAGAGGACGTTTGGTTGTAGCCTTGCTTCTGCTGCTGAATGCGGACTTTAAACAAAAAAGACTGCCCAATCAACCTTGTAATCTCAAGCGGCAAATCATAGTTTTCATCAGCATTCTATGGAAAAAAAAAAAAAAAAAAAGCTTTCAAACGTTAGCATTCACAGTTTAAAGTTCTTAAATTTAAAAAACATGGATGGAAACATAACCTTGCGCATAGATTCAGATCTCAAAGCATGGCAAGATTTCCCAATAAGAATTTCAGATTCTTTGTCCCAACAAACAAAAGTCCCATTAGCAGTAGCATCTGATATGAGCAAGTTCATCTTGTACCTAATAATTTACCCAAAAAAAAAAAAAAATTAACATGGAAAATCAATCAACAAAAGCAAACTAAATCATTAACAAATGTAGAGCTACCTAAACTTCCCAGCTTCTTTTGAACATTTGGCACACTTGAAGCCATTGTCTGAATTAATCATTTTGCTGCTACAACTTCGGCAAGCAAAATACCACCAATTGTCCACAATAGAGTCAATCATAGCGCATACCCACATGGTCTTGGGCTTCATCAAAATTCGTAATTAATTTGCAATTCAAAATAAAGTTGATACATATATATTGAAATAATGTTTAGTATACATGACTTAGAAAATACAGCTACCTCTTTAGTTTCGAACAAAGCAAACACCGAAGAAACTTGTTTCTCACCCGACAACAACTCATCTAGTTCCGTCTTGACGACAGTTTTTGAATTCGAACTGTATTTTTTCACCCTCAGGTTGCTTGCGGAGTACCTGTTAATATAAAAAAAATTAAGTTAACTAAAGATTTAAAACAAAATCTATAATATACGATATATACATATACAATAATAAGAATTGTCTTAACAAATTGAAATTGTCCAACGGACCAAATTATTACCTTGTCCAAAACTCACGTATCTCATCAACAGAGTCATGGGCGATCAACTTGGTAACATTTAATGAAGTAGTAACTTGTACCTTATCTACATAAGATATTAAACATTTTCATGTTAAGATTTTGATAATTTACTTGCTGCCAGTTGCTCCTTGCCCTCAGCTTTTATTGTTCATGAAAATTTAAATTAAATGTGAATCTGTAAATTAAATTAGAAAAGAATTCAAAAGAAAGATCCCATCCCATGGTTAGATTAAAATAGTTGCTGCTCATGAACATTAGAAAGATAAAAAAAAAAATATGATGCAATATGATTCGGCTAAATTGAGAAATAAAAAATTCGATGAACAATTAAAGTATATGGGTTGAACATTTTAATTTAATAATTATTTCATTAAATAATTAAATAATTAAACTAATTAGATAAACATAATATCTAAAAAGGTACTCTCTAGGACGTACATTGAAATGATATAATTTGGAATGATGAAAATATGATTGGGCTAATTTTTTAATTAAACATATGATGTAATTCGAAATTAATATTAAACATTAAAATAAATGAAATAATTGGAATTGAAATAATACTTACTTAGGTACTCTCTAGAACGTACAAGTTGCATTATTAGTACCCATGGTTGTCCAGTTTCTTCGTAATGGCTCTCGAAAGCCAAAAGTTGATCGACATACTCACCCCAAACCGTGCAATTTATAAAATTTTCACTACATTAAATAAGAAAAAAATAATTATGAAAAAACATTCACAATACCGAAATATATATATAAAAAACATGAAAAACGTATATGTATAAAACGTTTATATATAAAACAGGAAAATCTATATAAAAAACGTTCATCATAGCAAAAAAAAATAAAAAATAAACTGAAAAAACTTACTTGAGATCCATCAGAATGAAGGCAGCCAATTGGGTATCGCCCGTTTTTATTTGTTTCTCTTGCACACTTTGTATGTCAATGACTAATCCTATAACATCTACAATAAAGAAAAAAAAACAGTTATGTTATATTTTTATTAATTTAAAATAAAGAAATAAAATGCTACACATCATAAAAGAATGTTACCGAATAAGATCGATTCATCAATTTGATTGACATCTTGCAAAGTTGCAAAGTCTTTGAATTGAAATCGAAAAATAGGAAATTCGTCCTTGCACTTTGAAAACATAGTGCTCCCGTGTAGCATGATCTTAAAATCACCCGATGTTGAGCGATACTTCCCTATGTTGCTGTCCACTTGATAATTTTTTATACAAATTACCATGCCCTCTTCAAAGTTTCTCTCCTTAAACGCAATCAAGTTGATTGCCCGTAGCCATGCTGTAATGCGATCTCCCTAAAATTATGCGAAAACGATATATCAATGAAAGGACGAATTTGTTTTAAAAAATATAAAAAGTATGTTATATTATATATATACGAAAATATATTTGATAATCCTATTAAAAAAATACGTATACATAATTGGGCTTACATTTTTATCATGAAGAACCAACTCAAGATAGGATTTGTATGTACTGCCCCAATCTTGGAAGAACATTCGTACAATACGAACTTTAAGCATAGGTCTAGTAGACCTATTGACTTGTTTGATTAAGCCAAATCCTTGATTCATTGTTTGATCTGTTTTTTGGTTTTTTGCAGGAGGTCGAAGGAGTGAGAATCGTTGATTCAGTGTTTGAAGATTTGTAATTTAAATTGCATCGTTGAATTGCTTTTAAAGATTTTAGATAACGCGTGAAAATAGTTCAGATCATTATCTTTAGTAACAAATCAGATTTGATAATTATCTGTAGTAAAAAATCAGTCCAAAAAATAATTTCTATAATTTTTTAATTATTTTTAAAAAAAAAATCGACGCAATCGCAATCACTATTATCTGTACAAACAAATTAGACCACATCATTATCTGTAGTAACAAATCAGACAAGAATCTCTTCTTACATAATTTGTTATTGCTTACAAAAAAATTCCAATCAACTGCACGATCAACTGCACGCGTGAAATCTGTTTTAATTTGGAGAGACGATTTAAAAGAAAATATTCCAAACAGCTGTACGCGTGAAATCTGTTTCATTTTGGGAAGAAGATTTTTGAAAAAGAGCAAACGCTCATAACACGCTCGTTAGATTTTTAATTAAATGCAGATTTTGAATTTCCAATATAGTAATGCATTTATTAGTTTGACTTTTCCACATACTAAATTTAGTAAATGGTACCCCTTATTATATAAGTATAGATATATATATAGATATAGAGAGAGAAACAGATCACGTGGTTAAGATTTTTATCTGATATGAAATAAAAATCACATCCTAATCCTATTTTGATTAATATTTACACAATTTGTATATATATGTAAATAGGTCTCGTAGAAGGTCTATGTAAATTTCCCATTGGTCATTGGATATTCGCATCGCTCGTTCGTCTCTCTTTCCCCTTTCCCGCGAACCTATTTCTACTCCAGAACAAAGATTATTCATCTGAACCCTAATTTCAACCAATTTTCTGCAGTTGTAGTTATCTGCGATCCGCCAAAATGGTGCTCGCGCAGTTAGGGGGTACCATCACGCGCGCTCTTCAGCAGATGAGCAATGCGACGATCATCGACGAGAAGGTGCTGAATGATTGTCTGAACGAGATCACGCGCGCTCTTCTCCAAGCCGATGTTCAGGTCAAGCTCCTCGCCGATATGAAGAACAATATCAAGAGAATCGTCAATCTCGATGATCTCGCCGCTGGCCACAATAAGCGCAACATAATCCAAAAGGTGAGCGGGGAAGCTTTCTTTTCTGTTAGTGGACTCCATGTCTATTTAATTTAAGTTGGAAATTCTTTGCAGCACATAGTATTGCTTTGTCATACTTAAATGTGGAAGAAATTTTTGTGCGAGGAGTTTAAATTGAAGGAAGTAGTTGTATCTTTTCTTATGGAGTTTATTGACAGAAAGTGTTTGTTTCGTTTTTAAATATGCTGTGATTTTGACATTTGACTTGGAAAAAAGGAAAATTTTTAGTTCTGTTATATCTTTGTGGGAATTGGTGGGATGGGGATTGGAAGAAAGATGGAAAATACGTGTTGGTCTTATAATCTTATAAAGAGAAAGGTTGATTCTTATGTTGATCTATTTTTTATTCTTTTGTTCTTTCCGAAGGTTGATGATATTTTGAGTATGTGGATTCTACTGATATTCGACCAGTGAGCTGAAATTTCTGTGACATGTGCTAAGTGATGGATTAGAGATTAGTGCAGGCTGTTTCTTTTTCTCTACCAGTCATTATTTTAAATCAAGTACTGATTAGAGTATAAAGATATAACTTTAGGAAGAGTTTCAAGATGTTAATATGATGTAGAAAAAAATATTTTTTACTGACGGAAACAAATCAAGGTTGCCCTTATTTTTCCATTTACACTGATTTGAGTAATTCCATGTGGATAAGACAGGACATGTCAAGCTTATTTGTGTATCTCCTTATATAAAGTTTAGTCATCCCGTGTGAATCTGTTCTGATTATACTGCTCAGTTTGCTGCATATTAAACAGTGTCCCTGTTCATCTTTTCACATTTTCTTCAGTTCTTACGATTTTTTTTTTTTTTTTTTGNTTTTTTTTTTTTTTTTTGCTTTTTCTGCAGGCGATTTTTAATGAGTTGTGCAAGATATTGGATCCAGGGAAGCCTTCATTCACTCCAACAAAGGGGAAAACTAGTGTTATTATGTTCGTTGGTCTGCAAGGTAATTTGCCGAGCAGTCCTTTTTGTGGATTTTATAATGCATTATTCTGGTGATAAGTATTCCGACTTGTGTTTGTATTATAATGCTAATTTATATTTAACTGACTGGATATATCTTATTATACATGGAGCTACAGAGCTATTTTTTGTTATTCCTACTCTTGGTTTCTGCCTTATCTTTTAGAGAAAGCATGTAATTATTTAGGTGTACTTGATTTCAGGTGCGGGGAAGACGACAACATGTACAAAATATGCATATTACCATCAGAAGAAGGGTTGGAAGCCCGCTCTGGTCTGTGCCGATACATTCAGAGCTGGTGCTTTTGACCAATTGAAGCAGAATGCCACCAAAGCTAAAATTCCTTTCTATGGAAGGTACGTTTTTCTTGTTTACTCATGGATTAGTTTCCACCTGGCCCATTTCTTTTGTTGCGAACAAACTTGTGGAAACGGATGCTACAGTGAACTATCTGTTGTTGCAGATTTTATATCTTGATAAACATGTCACTTAGTTGGAAATTAAATGGGTGATGGTGTGGAATGCTTTTGGGAAGGGTGAACAAAGTTGAGAGAATGCAGTTTATTTTATTAACCTCTGATGTGCAATGTGGTAGTCTGCAACTGTTGAGAACAAAACAGATTCCTACACTTTCTATTTGTCTTTTTCTCTAGTCTCTACATTTATACTAGTGAGTCTGTGGAGACTGAGTAGCGATCACAATGACTTTAGACAACTACTTTATGATGATTGGATACAGGGGCATTAAAAAAGTTTCAGTAATTTCTGATTTTTTTTTTGTTTTAGGTGCATTAAATAAGTTTCAGTAATTTTCTGAATTTAATTTGGTTCAGAGGAATATATACAATATTGCTCTTACATTAATTTCATCTGCTGTCAATGTGGTTGTTGTGAGAATCTAGATTCTACACCTCATATTCATTTACTAATAGATAGGCCAAAATATGATTGATCCCTGAAGAAAACGTGGCTTTGCTGTAAGCATAAGTAGAACGCTGATACTTCAGACAGTCCTTTTCCTATCTGTATTTAGTATTTTTTCTATCTGATTGTTGATATTGTGAGCCATTCTTATTTTGTGGTTGTTAGAATCTCGTACATGTAGTTATCTTATGTGGGTAATCATTGTCATATCTGCAACAGCTACACGGAATCTGATCCTGTGAGAATTGCAGTTGAAGGTGTTGAGAGGTTTAAGAAGGAAAATTGTGATCTTATAATTGTTGATACCAGCGGACGTCACAAGCAGGAAGCATCCCTTTTTGAAGAAATGCGTCAAGTGTCTGAAGCCACGGTATGTAATTTCTGAAGCCTTCTTTTCTTGGCTCTTCGTTTATACTTTCTAGTTTTCTACTTTATAATGCTTGAGTGATCTTCTGAATTTTCCAGAAACCAGACCTTGTAATATTTGCCATGGACAGCAGTATTGGTCAAGCTGCCTTTGACCAAGCTCAAGCTTTCAAGCAAAGTGTTGCTGTTGGAGCTGTGATCATCACCAAGATGGACGGACATGCTAAGGGAGGTGGTGCGCTTAGTGCGTAAGTTTTAGAAGTAAATCATATTGAATTCTGTATGTTTAATGGCAGATTATAAAAATTACAAAAAGAAATGATTGCTGCAGTATCTGCTGATATCCTTGGTACTGTAGTATCTTTCTTGGAAGAAATAGAGAAGCTCACTTGGTATTGGGCCTTGTGGTCCACATGTGTATTTGGGTAGTACAGTGTGTAGGAGGGTTGAAATATCAAACCAGTTGCTTCAATTTAATGGGGATGCAATATAATATATATTGTTATATCTCGTTCCATTCTACTTTATTTGCAGAGTTGCAGCAACAAAAAGTCCTGTCATATTTATTGGGACTGGTGAACATATGGATGAGTTTGAATTATTTGATGTCGAACCATTTGTTCGCCGTCTCCTAGGTTGGAACCTCTAACTTTATAGCTCAAAGTGATTTCTTTGCTGCTAGCCCTGTTCAAATAGGTAACATTTTTCATTTTTCCAATTTCTATAGGTATGGGTGACTGGTCTGGATTCATGGATAAAATTCAAGAAGTTGTTCCGATGGATCAGCAACCTGAGCTTCTCCAGAAGCTATCAGAAGGCAACTTTACTTTGAGGATTATGTATGAACAGATCTACCAGAATATACTCAAAATGGGCCCTATTAGTCAGGTCTGTTGCATGCCCATCTCCAATCTCCATCGATTCTAACTTCTTGCTATACTTGTAGCTCTATTTTGTGTGCTCCTCATTTTTCTTCATAATGTATGGTTCGTAGGGTTTGGTGCAAGTTCTCTTTCAGTCTTTTGAATTGTTCTTATTCAAGCATGTGGTTGTGATGTAGGAAAGCCAATATGTGTGGGTGCGTGCTTTCAAGATATGCATTATTACTAAGAGCCTTTTCTTTCTTTCTTTCTTTTTCTAGGTATTCTCCATGCTTCCAGGTTTTAGCCAAGAGTTGATGCCTAAAGGACCTGAGAAGGAGAGCCATGCAAAGATCAAAAGATACATGACAATGATGGACTCAATGACTAATGAGGGTAAAGTTTTTGACCACATGAATTTGTTTGTTTGGGAATATTACTAAAAACGCACCCTTGAGGTGAATTCAGCTTTCTTTCCCCGAAAGAACACTCAACTACCTACCATATACATCAATCATTCCAATTTCTTATAAATTATGGCATTACAACAATTCCTTTCTTTACCAAATGTACCCCTCTTGAGGTAAACTAAGAAAATTCCACGCGCGCGTGTGTGTAATTATGTAATAAATAGTCGGGTGCCACATTGCTCTGAACTCACACCACGTATGTAATTTAATCTGCAGAGTTGGATAGTTCGAATCTAAAGCTGATGAACAAGTCTCGGATAATGCGGATAGCGAGAGGTTGTGGTCGGCCGGTGAGAGATGTGATGGAGATGGTAGAGGAGTTCAAGCGGGTGGCCAAGATATGGAGCAAGAAGAAGGGGCTTAAGATCCCTAAGAAAGGTCAAATGAATGCACTGTCACGTAACATGAACGCGCAGCAAATGAGCAAAGTGCTGCCGCCCCAAATGCTGAAGCAGATTGGGGGTACGGACGGCCTCCAGAGCTTCCTGAAACAGATGGGCTCTGCCAAAGACATGATGGGTATGTTTGGCGGTGCGGATAAGTGAAAAACCTTACCTTTTT